TTCCGTCGGTTTAATCACCTTGGCCTTCTTGGACTTGGCTTGACCACTAAGAAAGATTTTATGAGTCTGTTAGTACAATGATGCAGTTCTAAAGATAGAGGAAAACTGATTTTTCCATACCCAGGAGCAGTTTTGAAAGCCGGAAACTGAGTCTGAGATGAGTCGCCAAAAGAGCGAGAAACCTCCTGTAAAAGGTAAAATAAAGTTAGTGAGGCAAGGGAATAGATTCATTAATGAAAGCAACAAATAAAGATGAAAGAAACCTCATTCTGGCGCTTTCGAGGAGTTTGTTGTAAAATGGAAGGCGGTTCATCGTCGTCATTATTCCGAGCCTGACGGCGGCTCTCATGTTGCTGCTTTTTCAAAAGAAAATGAGTGTCCAAATAAGCCAAAGGGTGTGAAAACCTTACTTTCTGGGTTACCAGTCGAAGTTTCTGTCTTGGCAAATGGGCTGAGTCGGAGGAAATAGTTACCTCTTCTTCTACGGCCTGACTGGCCCCCGTGTCGTCCTGGCAATAGTCAGTGTCAATAAGGTTATTAAAAAACTGGCCAAGCGAGTCAAGGGCTACCTCCGACTTAGAATCATCGTCAAGCTTTAACAGTTCCGAAGTAGTGCTCCTTTTCTTCTTGGACCTCCGGGTCGTCTTCCTGGCGGCTATGGCGGCGGCTCTAGGCTTCTTGGCAGCTTTGTGGTCATACTTGGCTTTCTAGAAGTCGGATTTGGCCTGTAAACAAATAAACAGGATAAAAGGTCATGCAAGTATTTAAAACTACTGAGGAAAACACAAAAGAGAAAGAGGTCAGGGGTTTCTCACCTCTGGTGCCGGGTTAAGTTTACAGAAGGGGTTTAACCCAACCTTACTGCAGTCCTCATACTTGCTGTTCACAAGGATGGTTGACATTGAAACAATGTCTTCTTCAGTTAGTTGTACAGAGTTGTAACGCAGAGAATCATCTGGGCCTCCGCCATATTCATACATCAAGTTGGATTGGCGGCTTAGAGGAATGACCCGCCACGAGATCCAGCAATGGATCAAATCAACTCCGGTTAAGCCATTCCCCAGTAAGGCATGGATCCTTTTAATAGATGGAATAAGCTTCTTGAGTTCCGCAGCAGTAAGCTTATCAGGTAGCACAAACTTGGAATCCAGACGCTCCACACGATAACCTGACAGTGGTTTTTCATTGGCTGGAGACGTATCTTGGAAATAGAACCAGGTCTGATTCCAATCTTTGGGATGACTCGGTAAGACAATTAAGGGAAAGACGGCGCCCTATCGGCGCTAAATTGAGATTCCACCAAGTTCCAAGCTAGGGCCATTGGTACACTCATTCTGGCGGTTCAGATAAAAGTACTCTATGAAGAGTTCCACAGTCGGCTCTTCTTGAATATACACCTCACAGAGAACTTGAAAATTGCAGATGTTGGATATGGAATTGGGTCCAATATCTTGAGGATAAAGTTTGAAAAAAATGAAGAACATCTCTAAAGAACTTTGAGCCGGGTGGTGTAAAACCCCGATTCATGTGGTCAGAGAAGACAATAACTTCATCGTCTTTGGGATTAGGTCGTTCCTCGTCCAGGTCAAGTGCACGATAAGACATAACATTTTTCCCTGGCAAAAATCCTATGGTGAAGAATTCCTTCAAGGTATCTTTAGTGACTGTGGAAGGGACCTAGTTGCAGACAGTCGGTGCTTTTGACGGCATGATCATCAAAAGACAAACTGAAAAGAAAGTAACTTATCGTTTCAATTCAATGGTGAAGTTAAATGATGATGGTGCAAATGAGTAATGGCGGCTTAAGTAAGGGCTAATGTCATATAAGGGAAAAGTGAGCCGGCGTAATAAGCCGCCATGACTATAGATATTTGAGAAATGCCAGAAACAGAATTGGCCACGTGTTGAGGCAAACAAGTTTCCTAATTTCTTGATATTATTCTGGATCAAATGGCCGTTCAAAATGGAAAATATTCTAGACCTAAAAATCTAGCACAGATGAGTTCATGAGTTCTAATGAGGTCTTTGTACGAGAAAAAGGGATCTACTGGTATCAAGAATGAGTACAAAACAACTACCGCACGAGTATATGTTCTTTTTGGATCAAGAAGAAAATGTAGTGGAAGAACTACGAAGAAACTGTGATGAACTATGAAGAACACGCAGAAACCTAGAAACCCTAATGCGGATCTGAGGAGTAGAAAGGTAAAACACTTACAGCCAAGGATTTTCTGCGGAGGGTCGCCGCCGTTCTCTGGACCGATTCAGGTTGATGCAGCGGCCAAGGTCGACGAAGACGAGGTGCTCTGCGACGGCGGCGGATCTCGGGCAACAGTAGGGTTGTGAGAGGAAGAAGAAGAAGAGAGAGAAGAATGAGAAAAGACCAGGTCGTGCCTATTTATAAGGGGATAAGCGAACAGGCAGGCGCGAAAATCGAGGAAGACACAAATAATGATTATCCAACTAAACGGACGCCTCGATTCTCGGAAGACATTTAAAGATAAAGATCCATTGAAGATGATGTCATAGCATGCTTTCGTGTTTTCAGAAGATGACGTCATGGCGGGTTACAGAGTTTTTACAGAGAGAGGAAGATGGATTTCGTTTAAGTATTGAAGATTGACAAAGAACAAAGTTCAAGTCAACCCGGGGCCTAATGTTGGGAATATAGCTACCAGGTAAGACCCGCCCAGGAGGGGACGGGTCAACCCCAATGGCGGGTTACAAAAGAAGCCCAGTAATATTCAAGGTGATAGTTTATTAAGACTTGTAGAAGGCCTAAGCCCAGAAACGGCTTAAGGCCCAATATTGTAAACCGTCATATGTAAAGAAAGACTTGTAAAGAAAGGCATATAAAAGAAGTCACCGAGCCGGACACGTTTTATGAGCCGGCCGGGACTCTGTAGGCCGTCAGGCGTCAACCCATGTATATAAGGGGACGACCCGGTGACGGCTTAGGACAAGAAACAAGAGATCGATAGCCAAGCTAGCGGATTAGCTCCTTGGTCATCAAAACCCCAGCAATTCCAACACAACTAGACGTAGGCTTTTACCTTCATTGTAAGGGGCCGAACTAGTATAAACCTCTCGTGCCCTTTGTTCCGATTAACCCCTTTAAACTTCCTAGTTGCGATGGCCCTACGACTAAGTCCTTTTGTTGGGACATCTGTCGTGACAATTCCACGACACAACCAAAAAAGAACTAAATTGGTTGGTCAATACATTCATCTTTGAGGCGAGTTTGCCACTACCCGTCGCGTGAGGCGGAGAATAGGAGTAGTCATTATGGGCTGGGAGGTTTATCAATTGTAGGCTTTAGCAGTTCGCACCGTGAGTGACCAGTCACTAATAAGAGAAAAAATTGCCTAAAAGACCTAATAAGAGAAAATATCCCTAAAAACTATTAAAATAGAATATCTCCAAAAAACTTATAAAAGAAAGAAAAACTTATTGTGTGAAAATAAATTCTTGTTGCAAAAGAAACTCGACTTATTTCTCGAGAAAAAAATGAAGCAACTTCACTTGTCCTCAGCTGTTTTTTGTGCTCCAGTATAGTAGTACAAATTCAAGGTAACTCCGTAACACAAATGTTACTCTATTTTTTCCCGTAGAAAAGAACGAGAGAGAAAATATCCGCAACACTCCAAGTACTGTGTTTTTCTTTCCCATTTTTTCGGCCACACTTTCTACCTCCTTCAAACTAGCTTTCCTTGTCGAAGAGAAAAGGCTAGGAGTGCTAGCTAAAACGACCTGGACACAGATCGGTGAGCCAACCAGGAGCTGCCATTATTGACCGTCCACCAATTTGAAGTGCAAGTGGTATCTCTGTCCCAGGTCGCATCACGCCTAGCTGGCAGCGCGATCAATGGCAAGGCAACCTAGTAAAACCTAGAATTGACAACCAGACGTACATCACGGTAACGATACATGCATGTTCCCTTTCCCTTCTCCTGCCTACTTCCTCCGTTCAGAATTACTTGTCGTAGAAATGGATGTATACATGTGCGCCGAAAACGTATCAGGCATAACTGCAAAAATGTCTTATATTTAATTACAGAGATAATACATGTGTAACAAAAAAAAAAGAAAGCCACGGTCCATGAACCCGGTAATCTTTCACGCACGATTTGCGCACAACATGATTTGAAGCCACACAGATTAAAGAAAGAGGCAATCGAATGACCCACTCCCTCCGTCTCGTAATGCAAGATGTTGTTTGACGTTAGTGTAGTGTTAAAGAAACATTTTATATTATGGAATGGTGACTTGTTCTGTGTTGATCGTGTGTGAATCCGTCGTGTGCATAGCACCACTCTTTGCAAATATCCTGCTCCGGGTAGCAGCAGCTGGGCCTGATCAAAGTGGCATCGCTCAATTGAGGCGCGTCCCTGACAGAAGCCGCGGCTGAGAAGGTCCCTCTCGCGCATATAAGTATTCCCCATGCTCAACACGCGGGAGTGATGAACAAGTTCTTTTTCTTTTCTTTCGAGAATGAGCGATAATCTAGCTACACCGACGATCGAGCGATCGATGGCGTTGACCAGTTAACGCCGCTACGTGTACCGATAACCCACCACGAAGCCTCTAATTCCGGCATTGTGTGATGTAGTACAGCCTTTAATAATCACACTTGGCCTACTGTCCCCAAGAAGAAGATACGAAGAGAGGGTGGGTGGGTATAGGAAAAGTGGAACAATATCAGGACCAAACAGCAACAGCTCGAATAGAATACGGGTACGGTGGTGGCGCGCAGCGCAAACATCACTTTCACGCCAAAAATACAGGCAGGCAACATGCATCTTGATATCCAGTACTACAAGTACCATCTCCATCTCCGTTGCCCATGCCCATCCCACTCACCCCAGCGGCATATCGTCCCAGACAGACGGCATCCACGTCCTTGGCCTTGGGCCTCACCTATTTCCATTCCATTCTCCACTCACCCGGCCCCGCGCGCCATTCGATCCTCTTCTCGACTTCTCCACTACTCGCCAGTCGCCATGCAGCAGCAAGGCAAGAACCGGAACAGGAGAGCGATCTGCTCGTCGGATTTCTTTGCTTGGTCTGGACGTGTGCTCATCTCTTCTTCTTCTTCTTGCTCTGTTTGTTTGCTTGCTTGCTTGCAGATGGGTTGGGCAAGCGGCTGCTGCTCAGGGTCGCCGCGCTGTGCCACGGGAGTAGCAAGCTGCCGCCGCCGCCGGCTCCTCCGGCCATGGCGGAAATGCCGAGGGTGGAGATGGCCGGCGACGGCCGCGTCGAGCACCTCGAGAAGTTCTCCCACTACGTCGGTCAGTCGCCATTTCCACTCAATTGTTTGTTTTTTCGCGACACTTTACAGCAATTTCTTTTCAAATCCCCGCTCATTCCAATCCGATCAACGAACACCTGTCACTGCTGTTATTGAATGCGTATATTAACGTGGATGCTGCGTTCCTGTGTTCGTTTTCACCACAAGGATGATACTGTCTCGTAGTTTCTGTTGCCACTTGGTCTGATAATTTCCCCCCTTTCTGATGACGCCAAGAAGCAAGCAACCAATTGGTCCGAACACCAAAGGCTCTAACTAACTCCTGCAACCTTCCAACCAGAATGTTTGTCTTGGTGCTTGAATGCTCGAGAGATTCCACTGATGATACACTAGGAAACAAGATCCAAAACAGAAAGTAGTATGTATACCATGCAGAACTTCCCGTAAATTAATATAGGAGCGTTTAGATCACTTAGTTTACAGAGAGTAAAAGTTAAAGTAAACCCTTGTGATTGACATGGGCACTGCTGCTTTGATGGAAGAGTAGCACCTAGACACTGAACTGGAGTATATCTTCTCCTAGCTGACGCGTGCACCGATTTCTCCATGGAAAACGAACACCTGGCCAGCCAGTCGCCTACCCACTACCAAGCATGGCATGATCTTCTCTTGAGGGATAAAAACAGTTCCGAAGCATGTACTACGTCGCATGGGTACGACACAACGCACCAAGTCTCACGTGATGAGGTTAAGGTTAATCGTACGTGTACCAGACAGCCAGCATTCGTGCTAAAAGCTTAAAACTGGACAGCGCACTGACTGAAGAAAGCAGTTAGTGATGATAATAGCACTCGATCTTCCTCCCTGGCCACAGGCTGACCAGCAGGCCGGGGCCCTTCAGCCGTCTCGTCGAGATCAATGCATGCCACTGGTACCGTACGGCGGCGATGCCATTGTCGAGCCGTCCATGGCCACAGCCTTTTCATGTGGTTCAAAACTTCCTCTCCACTCCTCTCCTGAAAAGATAATGAGTGATTGAGAATTTCTGACATCGAGATCAGAGTGGGTTTAGTTTCTGCTGCAAATCAGTGTTTCCCAGATCAATCTCAATTCATTGTGTATGCAGCTCGGCAGATTGGGTTCGAGGACGCGAGCGAGTGCCCCCACCTGTGCAAGGCGGCCAACAACTACCTCCGGCAGACCAACAACTGCATGGCGGACGTCTACGGCCTCCTGGACGGCGTCCCGGAGGCCGACGCGCTCTACGTCAAGCTCGTCAACGAGCTGGAGAGATGCATCCTCGGCTACTTCGCCTTCCACTGGGACCATTCCACCACCCTCGTCACCCAGGTGCTCCCTCCGGCCCTTTTTAATCTGCATATAAGTATGTGTGTGACGATCTCGTCATCTTTGGCGGATCTGGAAGCAAAGTGGACGTCCACTCGGCTCGACGAATTACGAGCGATGCACATGCGATGTGCATTACTACATTATATATGCCGTTGCCGTTGCCCTTGCCGAGCGATTGCCGTAACTTTGCCGTCAATCACGCACGTACGCTTAATGTGCAGGCCTTGACCGTGGACAGCGCCAACAAAAAGAAGCTGAGGAACGTGATTCTGGAAGCTAACAGGTGAAAAGTCAAAACCCAACTGGAAACTCTCTTTTTTTACACTTTCTTTTCTAAAATAATAAAAATTAAGCTGCGTATAATTGAGTGCTCAATGAACACTTCGAAGCCAGCACATGCTAATAATTACTGTGATATGCTACTACTCTCTTCGGTCCATATTAATTACCGCTGATTTAGTACAAAGTTATATGAACCAGGGGAAGTAGTACTACGTTTCTTTGTGGATGTGAACAGAGAGAGAATTGAAATTATGCGGTAATTGCCTTTGGCTCCTAAGTGCATATGCACCCATTGTCGAAATACACATTTTAAAAAGTCGAAAAATTCAGAACAAAATCCCGCGTGTATATCCGGACATTTTATGTGCGTGCACAAGGTTTCAGTGAAAAACGACGTTTTTTGTGGCTTGTATAAAAAAGACAATTTCTGATGCTTCATTCTAACTATTCACGAGGCATTTCTTTATCTTTTTTACACAAGCCACAAAAAACGTCGGTTTTCACCGAAACCTTGTGAACGCATATAAAATGTCCGAATATACACGTGGGATTTTTGTTCCAACTTTTTCAACTTTTTGAAATGTGTATTTTGAAAATGGGTGCATATGCACATAGGAGCCAAAACGCCGCTCTTGAAATTATGTAGTATCAAGCATAAATTAAGGTCATGATTTGATGATGATGACCTTTCTAACAGATATCTTTTATAACATGCTTATGAAAAGAAAAGTACAGACACAAATGACATATTATACCAGTTGTTAGGTCGATGTGTTTATAATAGCAGTAGATGGGAATGCTCATGATTTGTCTCCATTATAGGTCAATTTCGTAATCTTTTGACATTTCCTACTCTTACTAATCAACTTGGGTACACGTTGGTATACATCGGCATGTTTGAATGCATGTATGTATGTACAGCTCCTATCTTGCTTTCACCAATCATTTTTTTTCGCCATCACAAATTTCCTTTGGTCAAATTTATTTGACCCGGCCAAGTACTTCGAATTACTTCTATAATCCCATAATCCCATATAGATGAGCATGAGCTACCTAACAGATAACTATCGGGAGTTTTAAAAAAGTAGCTAGTGCAATCATCTCGTCCTCTAAGAAAGTGACACATATAGGCAATAACTGCAAATTCCTAGCCAAGAATTGTCTAAAATGGTGTAGTTTAAGCTACCACCTTCGTCTTAGTTTACTGGTCTCTTTTGTAATTTGTGCCAAATTTTGATCAAATATTTAACTAATAAAATGTTAATGCATGTCAACAAAAATTATATGGTTGGATTCGTATTTGAACCTAGTTTTTAATGATATATTTTTTTGTGAAATGCATAAACATTTTGTTAGTTAAATTTATGGTCTAAATTTGACAGAAAATACAATGAAGACCAATAAATCAAGACAGATGTAGTATTATTTTACGAGAGGCAATAGACATATGTAGTACATATAACTAAAACACACAATAATCCTACTTACATTTGCCCGTTTACTCGCATGTGTCTCATTTGCCCGTTTCAATATATTGATAAGACGACAAGAAGCTTCCGAATATACACCATGTGCCTTGTTTTATGTGCACATGCGCAAATGCTAACATATGCGATGTACTAGCGCATCACCCGTAGACCCATACAACCACGAGTTCTCATTTCCAATTGTCCAAACTATTTATTTTTGTATTGTTTGCAATAGCTGCCAAGACTACGACAAGTGCTTAATAAAAACATGTTAGAGACATGGCCCCAAAGTCATTGCCGATACGCAATAATTGAATCAACCGTTATTAATAGTAGCCTCATCTAAAACGTACCCTCCCACTAGGCCATGTATACATCATGGAGTGGGCCAAGCCAGGTGTATGACAATGATGCTAACGCTATCAATGTTGGAGATTCGTTCTGGAGACATACTCTAGCCAATCACTATATAATCGTTAACTCAACTACTCCGGTCGTCAATTCAATTGAAAATATCTGCTCCAGTCCTTGTTGGATGTAAACAACAACATCAACTGCTAAGTAGAATTGCGATCTACCATGGATAAAAGAGGGTATATAATCTAAGATGTACGCTAACATTGTCGCGTTCCATAAAATACCCTATGCATGAGTAACTTGTTAAAAGGCTTTAGAAAAAACTTGTTAAAAGGCTTGCATGCATAAAACTAACTGAGATTGGATGGGTGCGACGAGCAGGAAGCAACGGTTCGAGCGGATCACGAAGGACCTCAAGGTGACGCGTGTGTTCTCCACACTGGTGCATGAGATGAAGGCCATCGGCACGGTGACGGGGATGAATGGCGAGGAGGAGGCGCACTGCACCGACGTTATGGCCCCGGTGGCGCACAGCGACCGGTCCCCGGTGCTGCTGCTGATGGGCGGCGGCATGGGCGCCGGCAAGAGCACCGTGCTCAAGGAGATACTTCAAGAGTGAGTACTGAGGACCAGTATTATTTCTTACGTTTTTTCCTCAGTTTCTTAGTACGTACACTTGTTGCAACAACGGTCGATTCGATCAGAATTTGAAGCCGAAGCATGGGTTGCGATGTTGAATTTCAGGCCGTTTTGGATAGAGGCGGGGAAGAACGCTTTGGTGGTTGAGGCGGACGCTTTCAAGGAGACAGACGTGATCTACCGCGCCATCAGCTCCATGGGCCACCACAACGACATGCTTCAGACGGCAGAGCTGGTACGTTCTTGCAGTTATATACCTAATTTAGATCTATATATACAATCATCACCATGGATCAAAATGAAGCAGCGTTGTTTCGACGACGTTTACAAATGGACCAGCGTTGTTCCGACGACGTTTACAAATGGATCAACATTGTGACGTAGTTACTTCGCAAAAAAAAACCGTGATGCAGTTGTGGTTGGCCAGTCATACATCAGTAGTTTGGCCCTTTGAATACATGCGTGGTTTGAGTCTGCTCTATTTCAGTTTATTCATGTTAACGTGCCCAGCAGTCCAGAGTCGAGACGACAAAAATGGCCCTGCACTTTTTAGGTAGAAAAATGGGTGAGTGAACAACCGGCCGCTGAACGGTAGGGGTCAGCAGCGATGGCACACATGGGGCGATAGCATAGCGGCGTCGCGTAATTGATACTCCTACTGCACTGCAGCTGCCCGATCGACCGACCGACACTTTCTCCAACTGTATGGTATGTCCTCAAATACAGTGAAAATCTATGGTATCTGTTCACCAAGCTAGAAACATGAACTGGTCTGCTCCTATGACCCTTCTCACTCCGACAAAGGCTGTGAGAAAGCTGAGGTCCAACGGAGCACTTGGCTTAATTAGATGGTTCTGCTTTGTCTGTGTGGTGAATAACATGTACTCCCTCTGTAAACTAATATAAAAGCGTTTAGATCACTAAAGTAATAATCTAAACACTTTTATATTAGTTTACGGAGGAAGTACGCATCTATCTATCTACCTTTTTTTGCTGCCCTGCCGGGTTCACGACATGGACACAGTATGGTTTTATGAGGATTTGGGCTGGCATGTGGGGAATCAGGGCTGGAACATGGAAAAATCAGAGAAATGATATTCGTACTACTTCTGAAAAAGTAGGTACGAGTTCAAATTGATGACCATTAGCTAACACATCAAGGGAGTAGGTACCAACCTAAAAACTGTACATACCGATTTTGTAGAAATTATACTCCCTCCGTTCCGAATAACTTGTCGCAGGTATGGATGTATCTAGATGTATTTTAGTTCTAGATTACATCCATTTCTGCGACGAGTAATTTGAAACGGAGGAAGTACGTAAGAATAACATTTTTCTAAACATATCTCTCATGTCATACTTTTTTTTAACAATCAATACCATGATAAATTATAGTAGCAAATTGTACATGGTAGAGATACATGAGCTGACTCTATCAAGGGAGTAGGTACCAGCTGTCAAGCTTGAAGACAAAGCAAATTGTTTCATTCCCACATTTCATTGGGGAAATTGTTTCTTCCATCACTTTTTTTAGAACCTTCCTCCATTTTTCCTTTTTTTAGATTGCCCTCCTCCCCTTTTCGAGAATTTCCCCCATCTTCCTTCTTTTGAGAGAACCGGCACCCATTTTTCCTTTTTTAGAACCTTCCTCCTTTTTATCCT